CCCCCCCCCGCCTGCCTGCTCCTGCACCTGCACCATGCCAGCCCCCCCGGCCGGCTCAGCTCCCCAGGCACCTACTCTGGCCCACGGGCAGCGGCACCACAGTCACGTCCTCGGAGCAGTCGTGGGTCCTGGCGTCGTAGGGCTGCAGGCCGCAGCAGTCCTGCATGGCGTGGGTCCGTGGCAGCACCCGGTGCTGCTTGTTGTTCGTGCAGCAGAGGTGCGTGTCATTGCTGTAGGAGTGCCCCGGGCACGGCCCCTCCGTGATCGGGTCTGGCAGGAGAGAGAAAGTGTGAGGGGGGGCAGGGCTCCCCCACTGCACGCACAGGTACATGCACTGCACGCACGCACACATGTGTAGGTCTGTGCATACATACATCCCTATAGATGTGTGCACATATAAGCACCCGTGTGTGCATATATGTGTGTGTGAGTGTATATACACCTGTGTGTATGTGTGTGTGTGTGTGTGAGCGTATCCAGTGGAGTGCCCCAGAGGTCGGTCCTGGGGCTAGTTGTGTTCAGAGTTGTCATCATCGACCTGGAAGATGGGATGGGGTGCACCCTCCGCAAGTTCGCGAAGACCCCAAGCCGGGGGGAGAAGCAGATACGCTGGAGGGTGGGGCTGGGGCTCAGAGAGACCCAGACGAATGGGAGGCTTGGGCCAAAAGAAATCCCATGAGGTTCAACAAGGACACGTGCAAAGTCCTGCGCTGGGGAGGGAGCGATCCCCTGCACCGGGGCAGGCTGGGGGGACGGGCTGGGCAGCAGCTCTGCAGGAAAGGACCTGGGGGGACAGAAGCTGGACAGGAGCCGGCAGTGTGCCCGTGGTGCCGGGGCACCCTGGGCTGCATCGGTAGGAGCATCGCTGGCGGGTCGAGGGCAGTGATTCTTCCCCTCTATTCAGCACTGGGGAGGCCACATCTGGAGTCCTGTGTCCAGCTGTGGCCCCACTGCAGAACGGATGCGGATACGTTGGAGAGAGTCCAGCGGAGGGCAATGAAAATGGTTGGGGGCTGGGGGACAGGAACTGGGCTGATTTAGTGTGGAGAAGAGAAGACCGAGGGGGATTGAACGGCAGCCTCCAACTCCCTGCAGGGGGGCTGCAAAGAGGATGGAGCGGGACTGCTCTCAGGGGGGCAGACGACAGGACAAGGAGCGATGGGCTCCGGCTGCAGCAAGGGAAGTCGAGGTTGGAGATTAGGAATCATTTTCTCAGGAGGAGGGTGGTAAAACACTGGAGCCGGCCCCCCGGAGCGGCGGTGCTGTTTCCGTCCTTGGAGGTGTTTAGGACCCAGGTAGACAACGCCTCGGCTGGGGTGATGGAGTTGGGGCTGGTCCTGCTGGGAGCGGGGGGGTGCGCTTGACGTGCCCCCCCCGAGCTCCCTCCCACCCTCGTTGTCTGATTCCATGATTCTGTAACCCAGGAATATGGGACACACACGCACACACACAGTCCTACATAAGCACACATGTACCTGCATATTACACACACACACACATCACCCACACCTGTCTATGTAGACACAACCCTGTCTACACACGTGCACCTGCACACACACAATCCAAGTATCCAGGACATGCACACACCTCCCCTCCCCTACCTAAGCATGCGTGCACACAAACATGCCTCCATAGATGCACTCACACGCGCAGAACCGATATACACACCTGCAGTGACACACTCGACACGCCCCCTTCCTACACAAACACATGCCCCCCCAAACACACACAGCACACGTGCACACACCAATGTCTGTCGTTGTGTTCAGAAGGAGGCTAGACAGACACCTGGCCGGGGTCGTGTGACCCCAGCATCCTTTCCTGCCACGGCAGGGGGCGGACGGGATGATCTGCTCGGGTCCCTTCCGACCCGACCCGACCGACTATGCAACTATCTGCTCCAGTTGGACCTGCTCAGAGGTTTGCACCCGCCCCCCGGGACCCCCCGGCTCTCACCTATGGGGGCGGCTGACATGGGGGGCAGCTCTGGGGCCAGGCTGGCGAGGAGGCTGGCAAGAGCTGCGGGGGAGACAGAGCAGAGGGTGAACACGGGCCCCCCCCATCGGTGCCCCTCACTCCTGACCCGCAGCCCCCTGCCCCCCAGCTGCCCATTGCCCCTTGCTCCCCACCTGCCCCCCGTGTCCCTCCCTCCCGACCCGCAGCCCCTGCCCCTCCCCACCGCCGGCCCGGCCCATTACCCAGAAGCGCCCGGAGTGGGGTCATGGCAGCTGTGCATCAAGCGGTCTGCAAGCCCATCGGTGCTTATATAGAGCTCGGGTCAGGGCTCCCCCCCCGCTGACCTCACTGGTGGGGGAGGGCCAGGCTGGATGCGACCCCATAGCCCTGCCAGCTCCACGGCTCTAGGCCTTCATGACTCATCGGAGCTGCTGCCAACAGCCTAGACAGAGAGGAGCAAGGCAGTTTTCCCATCTGTATAATGGGCTTGAGCACCTGGCCCCCCTCCCTCAAGTGCTAGGACCCTGCTTGGGGCTGCCTCAGTTTCCCCATCAGTATAAACGGGCCTGAAGACGCTGCTGCTCCACCCCCGCACCGCGTGCCCACACATGCCAGGCCAAGGTGCGGGAGTGGAGGGGGCAAGCCAGGACTGCCCCACGGAGCCCACGGGGGGCAGAGGAAAACGAGCGGCGCATGGTGCTGCGTGACTCATGTCTGTCCCATGTGTTTGTTGCATCATCCCTGTCCATGGCCAGCGGGATCACGGTGCGGGGGGGGCTGGCTCGCCTCCTCCCCCACAAAACAGGGCTTGTGTCTGCCGGGGACGCTGGCCAAGTGGGGCTAAGGTCAGGGCAAAGGGGTGACCCCTAGGCACAGGCGGCAGGGAAGGCAGTAGGGGTCACCCCCCCACCTGAAGGAGACGGGCCCGCGGACAGGGTCCCTCTATGCCCCCCCAGCTGCATTTATGGGGTCCCTCTCCGTTGGGCCGGGGGGGCATGCCTCCCAGCCCCCTCTGCCAGGAGCCCTGGCCCGGGCTGCGGCTGGATGGGAGAGCGATGGGGTCTGAGCAGGGTTTCCCCCCCGTCCCTCCCTCCTTTGCAGCACTGAGGGTCCAGGAGGGTCCAACTGAGACCCGTCCCCCTTACCCCCCTCCCAGTGCACCCCCCGCCCCGTAAGGTGCATCTACACATTCAATTCATGCGCTTTAGGGGACGCGCATTCAATCCAATACCCCCTTGCGAGGCACTAGAAGCATTCCCGTTCGCTTGTTTTAATGCACGTCGGGGGGTTGTGATGCTTTAATGCGCATGTGTGGATGCGCCCTGAGGGAGTCTGGCTCAGTCGCAATAACCTCTTGGTCCCGCTGCTTCTGCTTCACCCCCAGGACCCACGTCCTCCAGAGGCTCCGCGTCGTCTAGCAGATTTGGGCACCTTTGGTTTCCCTCTCGGAGAGGAATAACACGGCGCCGAGAGCATCCGCACCTGGCTCAGGCCCGGGGCGCGCAGCCCGGCAGAGCAGGGCAGCGAGGCGATGCAGGGCTTCCCTGGGGGATGAAGGGGTTTGGCCCGGAAGCACGTGGGCCAGTTGTGTTGCAAGGGGGGTTCCCGAACGAGGGCATGCGGACGAAGTCAGGCCTGCTTAGGTTTCAGATGATGCTTGAGGGCTGACATAAATGTTTACACCAGGGGAAGGCGTGCGGATGAAGTCACAAGAGATCCGTTGTTGACTGTTTCTTGCCAGACACTAATGAGGGCTCACGGCGTGGGACGGGCAGGGCCACTTATGACGAGTAGAGTACCAGGATGGTCTTTTCCGCCCCGGGGAGCTCGCTGCGCTCACACAGGGCCGATCTCTGTGACTGCCACCGTGTGAAACCCCCTGTCCCCAGACCCTTCACAAACAGGAGCAAGTTTTCCAGTAGTCCGTGCTCGGCGGGAGCCACGGGACGTGACCAGACGCCGGGGGGAACCCATGGGCTCTTGCGCGCCTGGTCCTGATCCAGACGGAGTCGGGGAGGGCCAGGGACAAGCAGCCTGGATCGGGGCAGAACAACCCCCGCCACCTCTGCCTCGCCTGCGACCCCCGGGAAGAGCCGTCGGCGTGGCCGGACACTCGGCGGCAGACGGCAGCTCCAGGCTCAGCGGGTTGGGGGCGAAGAGCCGCTTTGGGGACGATGAAGAAGGCAACAGGGAGGATGACACAAAGCATCACAGCACCGCTTTATGTCTCCCCCGGCGCCCAACACAACAACGCTGTGCCCAGGCCTAACCCTAACCCGAACCCAACACTAACACTAACCACAAGCCTAACTGCGGTTATCAAACCTCCCACATTGCCCTGGACTTTCCAGAAAATAGATCTAAATCCCCAGGAGATGATGAGAGTCAACCAGGAGACAAATGATAGGGCATTTATTTATAACATAAGAAATCTTGAATCCAATTCATACTGTAGTCCACTAGAATTTTAAAATACCGTATTAATCAACATTTCCGTCGGGAGATAATTCACTGATATCAGTATAGCATGTGATGCAGATTCCCGGAATATATTCAAACACAGCTGGAAACCCTAACCCAAACACTAATCCTAACACGCAACCAACCCCCTGACCCAACCCTAACCCCTAACCGTATCCCAAACCCTAACCCAAAACCCTGACCCAACTGTGTCCCCAACCCAAACCCAACCCCCTAACCCAACCCAACCCTAACCCAAACCATATCCCCAACGCTAACCCAACCCTAACCCAAACCGTATCCCCTACCCTAAACCAGCCCCCTAACCCAACCCTGACTCCTAACCGTATCCCCAACCCTAACCCTAACCCTAACCCGTGCACCTGACAGGAGGGGGCAGGTGTGGCGAGGGGGACGGGTGCTGTGGGGGGCGGCCAGGCCTGGTCGGGCGCACAGCAGAGGCGCGGGAGGGGGACGGACGGGGGTTTGCAAGGTGCAAGGTGAGGGGACGTCCCGGGGATCGGTTCCTGGCCGTCTCTCGGCGGGCACGAGCAGGCCGGCAGTTTCTAACGAGCCCCCGGACGTTCGTTTCCACGCAGCGAGGGATGAAAGCGGGGAGCTTGTGGGAACCAGCTGTGGGGGAAGCTGAGAGCGCCGCCGGATCTCCCCCCGGCTGGGCCCGGGCTTGGGGCAAAGGGGCAACCCGCGACGGCTGCGGGGGGGAGAGGGCGGGGGGAAAACCCTGCTCAGACCCCGTCTCTCCCGCCCAGCTCCGCTGTCTGCTGGACCCAGGAGCCCGGGGGAGACGGGTGTGGGGCACGACCCCGTCGCCGGCAGCGCTGAGGCTCCGCAGCAGAGATGCGCACAGACCCGTTGCCCACCCCCTGCACAATCCTGTCCCCCGAGCATGACACGGGGCTCGCTGCCACCCCCTCCCCTTTCAGGAGCCATAAAAGCAGAGCCCCGTGTCACCAGGATCGTGGTCTCAGGCGGCCACGCCTGGAAAGACACTTCACCCCCAGCGTTGAGACCCCAACCCCGTCCCCAAAACGACCGTCCCAAGCACAAGGGCAACCTCCTGCCCATCAGATGCACAACGGGACCAGCCAAAGCCCATTGCTGCCTCAGTGTATGCAGCGGAGACTCCCGAGGACCCCGGGGCTACCCCCCGTGCCGCCCCCGGCTTTTCCCAGAGCACGCTCCCCAGGACCGACCTGGCCTCACCCGTGTCCTCCAGCGCATCTGCAGGACACAGCGCTCCCGCTCACGCTGATCCCGAAGAGGATCCGCGCCTTGCTCCCGAGCACGCAGAACAAGGGGAAAAACGATAGCGTTTTCCAGAGTTTGGGGGCCTCGTTTTCAGCATGCTCACCCTCCCCTTCCTGCTTAACCCAAAGCTGAGTCCCTCGCTGCTGCTGGACACAGGTCTCCAGGGGCAGAGCGACAACGGGCGGGGATTTCGAGTGGGCTGCGCCAATGCTCCTGCTGGGATCAACCCCGCGGGCTCCTAGCTAACGGGTCCTGCCCCTGCGCTCGGCTCAAAGCAATGCTGCACTGGGGGTCAGGATCTCCCCGCTGCTCAGACTGGTCCAGACCGTGGGGTGGGGGTTGCTTTCCTTTGTAGCAGGGGCACGGTTTCTACCTAGGGTCTCTGACGCATCTATGAACCCCCTTTAAGAGCAGCAGGACGTTGCCCCCTGCAAGCCCCCTGCTTTGTCCGGGGGCAGAGGCGGGTGCAACGCCTGGGGCTGTGTCAGGGCTGATGGCGGCTCGATGCTGGATGTGCCTGGGCTGGTTTGTGCCGCACGCCTGGGGGTCTTGTCCTGGAGAGACGGGGGGACCCACCTCCATCCAACAATGAAACGCAGAGCAACAAACAGCAACGCGAGACGCTGCAGCCCGAGGATGCCAGTGGCTGATGGAGAACAGACCGTTCATCCCCCCGGTATAACTATTTGGGCCGGGCCCTGGCTGCATGCCTGGTTCGAAGGTCCGGACAAGTGAAACATCCTTTTCGTGGAGACCTGGATGTGTTTCTGTGTCTGGGATTTGACTGTCACAGCCGGGCAGAGCCGATCCAGACAAGCCATGAGCGGCAGCCAAGGGAAGTCGAGGTTGGATATTAGGAAAAACTCCCCACGAGGAGGGTGGACCGACCCGGTCTCAGCGGTGACGCACTAGACCAGGCGCCGCAGAGAGGTGGGGGCGGGGAGTCTCCGTCCTGGGAGGTGCTGAAGACCCGGGTAGACAAAGCCTTGGCTGGGATGATGCAGTTGGGGCTGGTCCCGCTTGCAGCAGGGTCGGACTGGGTGTGACCCCCCTTGAGGTCCCTTCCAGCCCTCGTTGCTTGTGACCAAGCAGCCCCAGGCCTCTCGCCCTTCCTGCTCATTCCTAGGCATTGAGGTCTTGTGAAGAGCTTCTGCCATTGCTCATATTGGGTGAATCCCTGCGAACGCAGAAGCCGGGAACATCTGTGCTTCATAGTTTCATAGTAGCTGGGGTCAGGAGGGACCTGAACAGATCATCCCGCCTGACCCCCTGCCACGGGCAGGAATGGATGCTGGGTTCACGCGACCCCAGACACGTGATCGTCCTGTAGCAGAAAGCCCCCTTCTCCTCTTGCCTGCATTTGCTCTCCCCTCTTTGGATACGTTTCTCTTCTTCTACCTTTTCTTCCTTCCTCTCTCTCTCACTTTAAGATAAGGAATTGTGTTTTAAAATTTGTATGTGTGCACTTTGTATCTCCCCTTGTATTTTGTTTTTTTTATCTATTTGTATGCCATGGCATTACTTTTGTAGCTTATATTTTATACTCCTCACCTTTCAACTTTCAACTATAAATGTGTTTAGTAACAATGGTAACAAGGGCAGGAATCAAGCTGCCCTTCCCTGTATCAGGCGGGCCCCTGAAAGAGCCAGTGA